TCATCACCAGTAGTAAATATTTTGGTGGATATTGGTTTCCAAGATACTGGTTCAGTCGACACATCTCATTCTGGACTATACACTGGTGCAATGAAACAATTTATAAGGCACTGTTGGCCCAAACCTTCTCATACTATTAAACTTGTATTTTTACTAAGCTGTTCAGTAGTTACAAAACACACTTTGATCATTTTTACCTTATATTAAAAGAAATAATTTACATTTTCAGTCTCTGCCCTGATATTGGTTGATATTGTGTATTGGAAGATACTTAAAGCCAAAGTATCGATATTGGTATCAGTATATTGATGGAAGAACAAAACAATAATTACACAGTCTGTTTTCTCTGGTGTAGCACTTGGACTGACTTAAGTGTAGTGGTTTTAGGAGTGGCAGTAGTAGCAGCAACTAACTGTAGTAGTGGAAGAGGAAGCAACTGAAGTAATCACATAGGAGGTTGTCAAAACAGTAGTTGCCCAGATACTAATCAATACTAACTATTATTTAAAATAGAATTTAAAAAAAATAAATTATTAAAGAGATTACATAAATGGACAAATCTTTCTGGAATATCGTCTTGAACAAAACCAAGACCACATAAAAATAATTAAATAACACTTATTTTGTGCTAAAAATTATATTTCATGGTTTAAGTTTTTTTTTTTTTTTTTATCATGTTGCACTGAAAATGATTCTGAGCTTTTCCTTTCTGTAAAAATCAATTTAATTGTAGTAGTTGTCAAATTGTTGTAAATTTATCCGCCTTTGTTTCCAATCTCAAGTTTTTTGTCTGCTAGAAAATAAGGTGTAAAAAGAACCATTGTTCAGTTGTTTTTCATGCCTCTCCAAAATGTATCATGCAAATACCAGCTTTAGCTCCTTCAATTTACAACTGCTGCTACCGTGAACTCCCTAGGCCCATATTTACAAGTACTTTGCCTCTTTTATGTCTAAAAATAGCCTACAAAATCTGTGCAAAATTGAACATAATGGCCGTTTAGTGGGCTGCCTCACCTGGGAACACGCTGGACTCACTCAGACACTGCTGCTTCACTCCAGTCAGAAATCCCTGGGAACAGTGCCAGCGTAGCCAGCCCATTTTTGTCTATCTGTGCAATGGCAGGTCTACAGTCTTTGGCCCTTCAAGCAGCTAATGTTCTCAGCACCGAGAGCACTATGGCCCCCCTTCTTCACTGGCTCATATCTGGGTCTCACATAATGTGTCGCCTGCAGGAAAGAAAGACAAGGTGAATAGTCAATGACATCTGAAAATAACCACCTGCAGATCTAATTCTTCAAGTGAAAGTCAATTTGTGAACTGTTCAAATGATACAGGTGTTAAAAGGTGCAGCTTAAGTGAGCGCTGCAGCGATTAACTCCACTTGTCATTCATATGTCAACTGTAAAAGCTAAATAATATTAGCATTAGTGAGCAATGAAACTGCTGTAGCGTCATTGTATTTTCTGAGTGTTTCCTCTAAGACTGGGTTGCTATGGATTACACTGTATTTATTTCAATATATGGTGTGAAATTGTATTATTAAAGGTACACTATGTAACTTTTCTGTTGGGTCACCTGCTTGTCTTCATGTGGATGTTATGGCTTTGCATTTAATGTTCCACAGTATGGCATAAAATGTATCTATCTCCATGGATACAAGCAGGTGACACCACATTACAAGTCAGATTTATGGAGATTTATTCCCTGTTGGAATGAATGCATTCAAGGCTGCTTTGGGCAATTAAAACACATGTACTTAAGTAAGATTAAAAAATGTAATGCCATACTGTGGAACATTAAGAAACTCCAGGAAGATAATTAAAAACATAAGATTTAGCTCTGTATTCCTGACAGTTTAACAATGACAACAAAATGCAACCTGTATTTTTATTACTGCTGTATTTCCAGTATCATACACTCTCATATTATGAAAACTCCTTAGTTATTTTTGTCATCGAGACACAGGCACCAGGTGGGCACTGTTGGCACTACATGACAGGTGACCTCAAGTTCAACTGTTTCTGGTGATACTTCTCCACTTTCAAAAAGACAAAACAGTTTAGAGCCAAAGTAAGAAAAACAGGATATTCACTTCTGTGCTTGTAAAGGCTAGAGGTCAGACAGTAATTTTCCAAAGACACAGGCTTTTTAAGGTTCTTTCCTTTTCTAAAGAATGTTAAAGTTGTCATTACGCAAAATAAGACATGACAAAAGACTTCCTGGCTTGCAAATTTTTCTTTGAGTAGACACTTCAAAACTTTCTTTCAACTACAAGAGTCTGAAAATTGCTTTCGACGTTACAAAACCATGATTTAAACTTCCTCAACTTCATTTCCAAATCGTATTCTGCTAAAACAACTTGTATGGACACTCTGACAAGCTGATATTTAAAAACTAAATTAACTAATTACAAGTCCAATACAGTTGTGACCCTAAAGCCGCCCATTTCATCTGTCAAAACCTCACAGTTAATGAGCCTGTCAGGTTTTCAAGCGCTTTATCAGCTACGCCCCGCTCTCCACCACACTGGCTATTTTCCCTGTTACCATGACGACGTCTCTGCCTCTCGATTGTGGACGAAAATGTCACGGTGAGTAGCAGCGCTGATTGAAAACCTATGGACAGTGAGCAGAAGGGTGTCCTACTTGTGTCTACAAATGACTCTTTTAGAGAGGCAAAAAGCTGGTCTCTCTCATCTATGTATAGTCATGAGAAAGTGTGTCGGCCTCGTCTCATTGGGCAATATTGTGCAGTCATTCTATATTAGTGAAAGGAGTTGATGGTGGAGCTACAAAGCATGACAGCTGCAAGAATGGTGTACTGTCAGGAGCGTTTTGCATCCTTCACAGATTAAATGGGAATAAATAGCATCAATTGCAAGAGTAGATCTGAGGCATAGATGAACTATTCAACTGAATTGTTATTGTTTCAATTTTTGACACTGTTTTGATCACTATTATGAACAAAATTGGGAAAAGATCTTAAAGTGTGAAAAAAAAAAAAACTTAAAGGTGCACTATGTAATTTTTGGTTGTTGGGGTTGTTGCATCTCCACAGATCTGACCTGTAACTTTGTGTGTTTTAACCTCCATGAAGATAGAAAGGTTTAATACCATACTGTGAAACATTCTAGACAAAGGAATCATCGAAAAGCTTTTGACGGACCCTCCACCAGAAAAGTTACACAATGCCCCTTTAAAATGAAGGAATAACTGTGCCCTCTGTTATTTGACTTGGAAGATGATCAACCAAATGAAATACCCCCCAAATTAGCCAGATTAGCCCCTCCGATACAGTGTTTTTTAATGGGCAAGGGTGAAGGGCAAAGAAATTCTCCCTCTTATAAAGCCACTAGACAAATAATTGTTCATTCATTTTCTTTTTTCGAAATTTCACAATTTTAAGTGTCTTTTTTCCCCAGATAAAAGACAATTACTTATGCAACTAAACCATACTTCATTATAGCATGTCTCTTAACAGCATGATGCCCAATTAACAGGTCTTTCCAAAATGGACTCCATGAGTGCACTGTAACCACCCTGGCTCTGGTAGCCTGACAAAACTCTTTCCTTTGTGTGAACAGTTAATTAGGCTCTCTCTGTGTAGCAGCAGAATTACAGAACTCCTTTTGGCCACCTGCTCCCCCTTCTCAAACGTACCACCATATTGTGATTTGTGCCAATACACACGGCCAAGATGCACCTGTAAAGGCCACACAGATAGCATGCTGGACTGTTTTATCGAATGCCAAAAATTAACAGCTTCGGAGTTTCAAATTCTATTAATATAAAGGTGATTTAGCACCAAACAAAGAAACACAGATTCCGATGACTATTGTTAAGACAGTATTTATAAAGTCAAGGGATTATTGTTTATGTTCATGTTATTTGTTCCTCTCATGAAAATGCTCAGTAGTACAATAAATACCACAAGGATACAATACAAACAACAGAAGACATTTCCATAATTGGAAAGAAACAGATACAAAGAAAATTACATTTTGAGGTGAGAGACTAGACTTTGATTTTTCTTGGGGAAATGTGTAACTAGTCATTAAATTGCCTCTTCATAATCATCAATAATAAGGTTAAAAAACAAAAAAACTGTCTATATCTCCACAAAAGTCTTTCCTTTCACCAGTAGTACAGATTAAAAATGATCTTCCTCAGGGTCAATGTCTCAACATTCAAATAAATAAATGAGCCACACAAAAAAGTGGCAAATAGTAAATCCTATGATGATTCATGATGTTGAAAAATGTTTGGCCTAAAAATAGTCCAAAAGCCTTTTGTTGTTGTCAGATGGTGAGCTGAGCAGAGTGCTGATGCTGGACTTTATAACATGTGAATAAGAAAATAATGTAAGAACAAACTACAAAAAGACAAAAACATAATTTGTGGACACTGATATTTTCTTCATTTTATATTTGAATTATAATCACCATACACCATTTTGTAGCACTGTACTGAAACATATTCTTGCAAATCTAAATAAAGTTATTTTGAGTTGGTTGATTAAATGCAAAGCGTCAACTTTAAGATTAGATGTATTTAGTTTATGTATAAAACAACCAAAGCTGACAATCAAAGCTATAAGTTAATATTCAGAACGGTTTACAATGGGCCTATAATTTGTTAAGTTGAGTTATATATAAGTTGTTTAACTTGAGGATGCTCTTGCGCATGTGTCTGTTATCACAGTAACACAGAGCTCAAAGTCTGTAATTAGGGCTGCGTTTCTGTAGCTGCGCTCCCTCCTCTCTCTCTGTTCACTCATTTAGCGCTGTTGTCTGATTTGCGCGCCTAGTGCCACAGCCAGGGGCACAGCCTCACGCACTGCCCCCATAGGAGCGCATCTCTCTCTGTGCACGCGGCTGAAGTGGAGACATTCTCCCAGGAAAAGCGCGCGAGTACTTAACGCATGGAAGCGGAGCAGCGGCGGATGTGGTCCATTTACGCACGGCTCCGGTGTTCCACAGCTGGATAAACAGAGAGGCAGGATGCGCGGGGCTGAGCTCCTGCTCGTGTACTTTTTGGTCAAAGTCATGGTGTGTGATGCGGAGGGCGAGCCGGGTCACACAGAAGACGACTTTTTGATCGGGTATAACGACTCCGTAGAGATCGATACGTCGGAGAGTCCACACACTGAGGATAAATGTCGCGGGTACTACGACGTGATGGGCCAATGGGACCCACCGTTCGTGTGCAGGACGGGAAACTACTTGTACTGCTGTGGCACCTGTGGATTCCGCTTCTGCTGTGCGTTCAAAAGCTCACGGCTGGATCAAACCACCTGCAAGAACTATGACACCCCACCGTGGATGATGACAGGACGACCACCGCCAAAGGTAGACGTGGCTCTGGACGCTTCCAAGGATAAAACTAACCTGATCGTGTATGTGATCTGCGGAGTGGTGGCCATCATGGCATTAATAGGGATTTTCACCAAACTCGGTTTGGAGAAGACGCACCGGCCAAACCGAGAAAACATGTCCAGGTACGACGCACGCGTAAAGTTGACCAAAACACAGAACTTGTGGTGCGTAAACACGCGCAAGTCATAAACTATTTGATAATAGCAATATTACAGAAGGTACACTGTAGAGAGTTGAGCTTTTACATCGTACAGGAATCACTGTACATGTGCATCGGTAAAAATCCAGGGTACAAATCGGTTACAAAATGATGGAGTCTACTTGTGTCTTGCGTCACTGGTAATTAAGTGTAAATAGAAACGTGTGGTTTGTTGGTGACTTTTCCAGGGCTCTTGCAAATGTGATTCACCACTCTGAAAATGATGGTGCAGTTGGGCAACACTATGAGAATCTACAAAGCAGAATGAACAGCCTGCGTAAGTATGAATGTTCAATTATTTGTGTTTTATTATTCCTCACTCTACCACAACTGAGCCATTGTTTGGAGCTCTACACCACCACTTAGTCTAAACTAATGCAGGATGTGCCTTTTCCCTATTAAAATAATATATAGGCTATATAAAAGTTTTTTTTAGCACACTTTTGATTCAGAGTACACTTAATGGTGCATATTCAGCTGTTTAGATGGCAGATGGAGTATTAATGAAAAAGTACTCCTTACACTGCCAGTGACCACCACTGCGATGGTTGGATTGCTAACACATCATAATGCTCACACTACACTACAGCTTCTAATAAACCTAGTCATGGTCTAAATCATGGCTCAAGATATTTTCATTGAAGACTTCCCTGCAGCTTCTGACTGACTTTGGACACTAGTGATGATAAAATACAATATGTCTCAGATAAGATATGTATTTGTATTATATCAGACCATAAAGGTTCTTGATGAATAGAGTGGACTAAGGAAATCGTGTATAATTTAAACTGCCAACAGGTCTAAATTCTCTAAAATGTGTGAAGCAATCAAAATCACTGGCTGTTTTTTATCCATGTGAAGGCGTTGATTACACTGATTGCCTGTGTCTTTATGCTCACTGCTCTTGAATCTAAAATTAAATCAAAACTGGGACCGGATTTAAAAATTCACCTGTAGCGTGCATGAGCTTAGTTTTCAGTACAAAACTACGAGAACTATAAATTCCAGTTGAAATTGAGATGTTGACTGTTCTCATGGTAACACAGGTGTAATGATGCATTCACAGGCTCATCAGGCGGTCTGAGTTTCTAAGTTCGAAAGCTGTTTTTTCTTGACTTCTGTAATAATGTGTCTGACTCTTGCATAACTAACAAGGAGGAACTAAACCTGTCAAAACCAAGACTTAACTAACTAAAAAAAGGGAAAACAGGAAAACATGAATGGATAAGATATCAACTTGAACTAGACAACCAAAGTGTTAACAACTTCAGACACAATAAAATGTCCTCCTTCTAAAAAAAACTTGACCCATAAGAACAACTTAATGACCTCAGAAATCAAAATGCCCCTGTTTTATCCAATTTCCTTATAGAGCCTGAAGCACTCAAGCCACCTGAGACGACAATGCTAGAAAAGAACTGATTTTTTACCTGTTTTAATAATTGAAAAAACAATATTGACTTCTCTAGCTGCTGTCACAAGAAAAGCTTTTATGTCATTATAATATTTTTGTATTTGACAAACGCAGGGCTTATTAAAACTCACGCTAAAGGTAAAACAAATACCACATACAGAAATAGTCACAAAAAATACAATTCAGTCCAGAATATCAATACCCGATACCAACTGATGCCAGTGCAATGACTTTCTTTCAAAACAAAGCAAACATCATCTGATCCTAACTGATCCAAATGTGAACCCTAACCGTTAAAGTAACATTGTGTAACTTTTCTGGTGGAGGTCAAATGCCTTGTTTCTATAGAGATTAATACTTTTTGTGGAAGGTTTTACAGTATGTCATTAAACCTTTCTAGCTTCATGGAGGCTAAACCAGACCAAGTTACAGGTCAGATCCGTGAAGAGGCGACCCGCTCACAATCAGAATGCCAAATCAGAATTTTTTTTAGGTATTTTTGAGCAGTAAAACCAGCAGTAATTGCATAAATGTATAGAAGAACTGTTTAAAGTCGTACTGTAGAATATCCAGGGAGAGCAGTGACATCTCCATAGAGACAAGAAGGTCACGGTCCCTCAACCGAAAAGTTACACAGTGCGCCAATAATGTTTGAAATAATATTAGTTAATTGGTCCTTAACCAATAATTTGAACTGAAACCTGTTACAGTATAATAATTCTAGCAGCATCTCCAGATAATAGAGCTAAAGGTGTGGAGAGGTGTGTAAATGCAAATGTACTCCAAGAAAACTATCCCAATTATTTTCTATTCTAAACAAACATTTATGGAGGCACCTGACAACACTGGCTTCATTTGAAAGGAGTGCAGACATGGGCACAAATGGGAGGAGCCCGGAGTACAGTTGGAGCACATTGGACAGCACAACCTCAAGTACAGACATACAAAAACATTTCAGGAGACTAAGTTATGACAGCTCACAGCTCTGTGCAGTCAAACTGGCTTCTACCTGTCACTAACTTAGCCACACTTCATTAATGTCTTATAACAGCTGAGACCAATACACTGCACATGCATTCATTTTATATTAAACAATTACTGCTTATTTTGACTGGTACTGGGATGCTTCTTCAAGTTAGAATATGCTCTTATTTTGCAATGTTCCAATTAAAAATAAAGGCACTATATTTCATGCATGCAGTATTTTATACAACTAGGCCTGTCATGATAACACATTTTTCAGTGTGATATATTGCTGAAGAAAATGCAGACAATAAATGATAATATTGACACCAAACCATAAAGCAGAATTATTCCCCCAAAATATTCTTAGTGTACAATGTAGTTACAACAAATAGTTAGTTTGTATTTGAGTCATAGAAGCTCATAATTCTTGCTAATGCAAAGAGAAAATACCCATGATAAATGTAATAAATTATTGTTCCATTGATTATATATTGAACAATAAGCTGATTTAGTATTTATAATGGCATTCCTATGTATAACTTTGACAAACTTAATAATAATAGTCAGTAACATCTCAATGTAATCTTAAACCGGCCACTGTCTGGACACTGTATTTTTAGAGACAGACATTGGCCATTCACAATACCTATGCAGTCTCTTGCAATTACCAAATTATACCAATTATATATTTCAGTAAATGTAAAGTCATATTCAAGTATTTGTATATCTTTATAGTGGCAAAAATATAAAGTACTGCTACAGCACTTATTTCTATATAACATCTGACAGGAGGACTAGGTGCTATCTTGACAAAGGAATATTAATAGCTCAAAAGTAGGCTGTCTGTAAATAATGTTAGCCGTCTCTTTGTACCTTTTTGGAGCAAAATGATCCCAAAATACATTGTTAAATGTTTTATGAGTGTCTGGAGCATTGAGTCGCTTACTTTCATCCATGGAGACTTTAACCTTATGAGTTTGCAGACACGCCCTAGTTTTCGGCATGACTTTGACAACAATAGAGAACAAATGAAACCTATCTCCATCTGTCTCCATATGCAGGTAGTGACAGATGACTTCAGAGACTGTGTGTCCAGCTTTGTGTAAAGGCACTGACAATAGACGTGACCTTTAACTAGATCACATACATCAAAGTATGTCCTTGTGCCCTACTTATCAATCTAAAAAACTGGAGCAGAGCAGAGTACCATCTCACTACTGCTATTTGATGCTGGGTCTCAAGTTGAGCTAAAAAAAGTGCGGTGTGGTTGGATAAATAAGTATAATAATGACCTGTAGGATTATATTAAACCCAGTGTTGGGAAGTAACTAAATACATGTAGCAAAACTATGTATATTCATTTTGAGTAACTGTATTCCATTACAAATACTTTTTCATGTGTCTGAAAACAGTTACTTTAATAAAATCAAGAAATCATTGCAGTACTTGATCACAAAATTTAGGCTAGCTAGTGAGAAACTAACTAGTGAGAAAAATAAAAAAAACACTGTGGTAAGTACAAATGTGATTTTAACTTTTCCAATCAGTGAAATTCAGAACAAACAGTAAAACAAATTGCTGTTTTTAATCTTATGTTTCATTTTTACACTATAATTTAAATGCACTTGCTGTGAAAAATATTGTAGCAAATCAGTTCAGAATACAGTACTCTGATTGACCCTGTAACGCAGGCATGTCCAAACTATGGCCCGGGGGCCAAATGCGGCCCTCAGACAAATTTTTCTTGGCCCTCAGACTTCCTGGAAAATTGGCCCAAATTACCTTGCATCAATTAAAACATAACTTTTTACTGCAAGTTTTTGGAAAATCTACCTTGATAAAGCTGATATTTCATATTTTGTGTGTGGTTTTGAGGATCTTAGCATGAATAAAGACTGATGGATCATTCTAACATGTTAAACATGCACATATTTCAATTATTCACTGTACTGAGCACCAGTCTATGGCCCTCAATTGGCCCTCTGCTTCATCTGTGTTTAGATATGTGGCCCTTGATGAAAAAAGTTTGGACACCCCTGCTGTAACGGAATACATTACAAAATACATTCTAATATTCAGTATTCTGTAATTAAATACATTGTCAAAGTATTTTTCTCATCAGTGATTATATTTTGTGGCCTTTAGAGTATTGGCTATTGGCCTGATATTTTCTTTGGCCCAACCAGCTGCCCAAATATGCATGAAAATATATGTATAAAACTTCACAACTTCAAAACACAGTCGAAAGAGAGTACTGCAAAAATTATGGCTATACTTTACTAATTAGATCATTTGGGAGAAAGATCGAAATCAGCCCTACATATTGGCCTATAAATATCAGGAAAGGTCATCGTTCCTCTTTATTCTAAACAATCAGCATCAGTATTGGCCATGAAAAAAAAATACATATTTGTCAATGTCTAGCATCTATAGCATACAATAATATAATCCATGTAAATAGGAAAAACTAACTGCACCTTATAAACACCTTATATATTTCTTTTATTTAACCACTGCTGTCCCAGCGGTGTGCATTCTGTGTAAATGACCTTTCCAAATATCACCAACACCAAATTCTACACTGACTGTATTAATGAGAAAATGACAAATGATTAAATGATAAAAGCTGAAGTGAAGGAAAACATGTCATCGAGAATTTCTATTCAAATATCTAAAACATCTCTTAACATGAGAGTAACATACTTAAAAGTATTTTGCGTTGTTTAATCATTGATAGTTTGAGACTTTCCTAACTAATTAGCATGATCAAGTTCGCGGCTGACCAGTGGGGAATAGGTGCCTCATTAACCCACTTCTGGACTGAATTGTGTTATTTCTTTTTTATCAGACACAGTTTAGAGCAATGACCTAATGCTGTTTTAAAGGTGCACTGTGTTTCTTTTCTGATGGAGATTCTGACACTTACTAGTTTCTGTGGAGATGTTATTGTTTTGCTGGATTGTTCCACAGTATGGCATTTAACTTATCAAGGTCATGGACAGAAGCTGAAGGAATCAAGGTATTATTAAAACACCTGTGATTGAATAAAAAAGTTTAATGCCATACAGAGAAACATTCTAGGCAAAGAAATAACATCTCCAAGGCGACAAGCAGATGGCAGAACCCCCATCGGTAATGTTACATAGTGCACCTTTGAACAATATCACCATTTCAGTGTACTAACCTTACAGTTGTGCTGCAGACTGCTGAAGCTCCATGGACACAGTGAACATCTGTGTGCTCTGTCATGCCAGTGCAGTAGGCAGGGGGCCAGTCTGTTCACCACTAACCCTTTAATTTAGCAGATGTCTCCTGTAGGATTACCACAGTTTCACAAAGAACAGTCATGGCCTCCCAGCTGGCACCCATGTAAGGTCTACTTTACCCAGAGTGGCACTGGGGACATGTCACCAAATGTCCAAGAGTGTGTGTTTTAAAGGTTTACTGTGTAGTTTTTCTGGTAGAGGGTCAGCCAACAGCTTTTCTCCTCAAAAATGATATTGCTTTGCCTAGAAGGTTCCACAGTATGGCATTATCTATCTCTCTGGAGACAAGCAGGTGATGACACAGTCAGATCTGTGGAGAGGTGACTCTGCTCACTCATAGCATGTTTTTCAAGGTATTATCGAGCAAGAAAAAGAGATGTAATTGAATAAATGCAAGAAAATTTCAAGTTTAATGCCATAATGCGCACCATAGCAAAGCAATAACATCTACATAGCAGGTGGCAGACTGTTCTCCAGAACAGTTACATGGTGCTTTAAATGATCTGACATAAATATGACCAAATATGTCTTATTCAGTTATGACCACCTGTTGGACATGAAGCCTCATAAACAACAAATGGAATCTGACAAATTTCTATCAATAGCAGCAACTCCAGCCAAGTTTTTTTTTTTTGGCAGCATTTTAGATACTGGTCACTGCAGACTGGACCTGACAAGAGCTGCACTACAGAGAGACTCTAGTCATCAGTTTAGATGAATACAACCTTATTGATGGTTTTCAGATTCAGATGTAGTGATATCATGCTCATTCTCCTAGATGGGGAGCAGGAGACAGTTTATCCTATTGATTACATTGTATTTTCCATTGACATATCCAAAAGGTAACTTCACAAATGTTAAAACCGACCATTGCTATTACTGACTGGACCGTAGAACTCACAGAATCTAAAATCTGCATCTGTACAAAAATAATTTTCACTGCCCCACCTTTGTATTAAATACTATTGACCTAAATAATGTTGTGATGTCATCTGAAACCCAGCAATTTGAAAGATTATACTACAGCTAGGTTTTATTTCTGTTTATCTGCTTTTTTTCTCCAAAACAACAATTTGGATATTATAATTTTTCATACCTCTCACTGCCAAAACTGCACCAAAAGATGATCTGCATTTACTTCTGTCAGTTATCATAATGTTGTACAATTCATATTTTTATTTTATTTTACAGACAATGACCAACTCAATAACTCAAGCCAAGCATCCACGCTAATACCACAGCCTTACCCAGTCCCAGACCTCAGCAGCCCCTATGACCACCAGCTGCCCGTCAAAGACATCAACACGTACGCCACACTCAAGGCTGTAGGTAGGAAGAAATTATTAATTAAAAACTATCCAAATGTTAATTAACACATACAGATGGCTCAAATCTCCAGAAATCTGTTAGTTAATCCTGTTGCTATTAAAAGACATGGAGTGGCATCAACACAGTATTTATAGAAGTTTGTTTCCTATTATCAAAACCATTTAAAAGCTTACGCAGAAGGCTTTTGATGAGCAATAATAGGAATGATGAAAAAGGAAAGCTTTGCAGTGAGATTAAAAGTGAGAGTAAAAATATTTTGTTTGGAGCTATCTTTGGAGTGTTGAAGTTTGGTGTTTAGTGGTAACACAATAACACCTTGAGTGGGGGGATCAGCTATCAAAAAAGTTATGGCTAACTTTAGACAAACAAGTACTCCGTAGGCGTCAGGTATCTGTGAAAATTCTTAGTCATCCAGGTTAAAATCTTTATCTGAGTATCTTCGTGAAGATACAAGAAGATTCATGGAATTCAGTGGTGGAAGGTAATGAAGTAAAAGTAGTAAAGTACTGTACTTAATACTTTTTACTTTTACATCACCACATCTGAGAGCAGGTATCTGTAGTTACAAGTCTACTCCACTACATTTTTTCATAAATCTTTATCCAAATAACTACATTTGAAGCCTTATAAGACCTAAAAAAAAAAGGGGCAAATACTTACTTACTTTTTATTCCTTAAGTACATTTTTAAATACATATATTTACTTAAGTAGATTTTTTTCATGTGATATTTTACTTGAGTATTTTTTTTCCTCCAGTATCTGTACTTTCATTTAAGTAACAAAATAGAGTACTTCTTTCACCACTGATGGAATTAGTATTTGATTTTATGTTAAATATTGTACACACATCCAATTAAAATGTTGGTTAATAATGGCAAAGAATAAAATGTATTACCATTCTAATGTAAAAGGCTGGTGCGTAATTGTAACATCCCTTAATGAAGGATGTGAAGCAGAAAGTGTAAATTAGAAGGGCCCAAAGGTTATCATACTGCTAATATAAAGAACAAGCAATTAGTATTATGTGTATTATCATCATAAATCACTGGACATGGATTCAGCCAACTGTAAAAGTTGGCTAAGTCTACGTTAGGTTACCAATGGTGAAACTTTCCTACAAACAAAAATTATACTGGCCATGAACAAAATCTTAGGGCTAGTATAATTTTTTCCCCCTGGTAGTGTATTTAAACAATACCACTTTACTAGTAATTGATACTTTTTTGAAGAGCAGCTTTAAGACAGGCAAAACAGAATATTGTAATGATCATAAATTCTATCAAATACATTTTCTTGGAGATGTATAATGTTCATCTGCAGCAACATTTCCTTGAATCTTTCAGTACAGCTCTTTGACCTGGTAACAATCTTGTGACCAAAAGATTTTTTAATACTAGTTTTCTCCATCACGATTTTTTGGTCTTGGTAGTAACGTACAATTTTTTTTGGCATCATGTGGTCTCTTTTACTTCTGCTAAACAAATAAAGTTGGTGTTACTGATAAGTTTGTTGTTGACATGTTTTCAGCGGAGAAGGTGAACCTGTACAGCTTCAGACAGCAGTCGTTGGAGATGTCCCTTAAAGGCGCCCTGCCCATGGAGCCTCTGGACGAGGCGGAGCCCAGTAACCCATACAGCCCGCCCCGACACCCCTCCCTCAAACAGAGCCGCCACAAGCCCCGTCCCCCACGGAGCCACAGCTCTCAGTCTCTGTACTACGGCAATAACAGCCCCGCCCTCCTCCGCTCCTGGGACAGTCGCGACACACTGGGCCTGAGGCAAGTCTACACCCCTCAGAAACTGTGTGATAGAGAAGGAACTGCACACCACGCGCTATATGCCCCCCCAGCCGTACTTTGTCACCAACAGTAAGACAGAGGTGACAGTGTAAAGGGTAGTAAAAGACTGCAGACTGTGGATGGGGTCCGGAGCACTCACGAAGAGGAGTGCGACAGAAGAACTCGGGCCCTAAACTTATGTGGAGCCAATGTGTAGTTTACACAGTTGATATTGTCCATGGATTTTGAGGATAACTGTGCACTGATTGGTTTGAAAAGACATAAAAAGATATGTTTTTGCATTGAACTTGGTCTGATGTTTGGTAATGTGTTGTAGAGATTGTTTATTTTAATTGAAAATACAAGAAAAACGCATCCTAATTTGAATGCGTATAGAAAGTGATGTTAGTTTTGGTCTTAAGTTCCAGTTAAATTGAGATGCAAAGTTGTTTTCATGTGATTCAACTGGAAATGAGGCTGTTAAAGCACAATACATACTATCTATATCTGCACACACATATTCAACACCTGCTTTTTATTTCAGTATATCACCACAGACTGTTGATTGTAATGTACTACTACTGCAAAACTACTGTTTTCTTGTTGGGTTGTGACTATCCGAACTGAACATGCATTTGATGGTTGTCTCTGAGGCTCTAGACGTAATAAGTTAAACAATCATGTTTATTGCATAACTAATTTTTAGTAACATACTGGAGCAAATGCAAACCTCAACATGTAATAGATATTCATTATACCAAACTGTAAGTGTCAATTAAAATGGTCATTTATAATAAGCCAACAGTGTGGTTTCTAGCCAGATGGGGAAAAAAATTATGCTGCTTCAGACAATATTTGCCTCAATTTCATGCCACAATTGTAGAAGTGCAGTGCATTGACCCTGTCTCACAATGGTAAACAATGTCCCAACCTGAAAAAGAATCACACTTATGTGCGAAAAGATAAATGCACAAAATGAGACTACACAGCTCTCTTATTGGTTTATGGTAGAAAGGGCTGTTGGTGAGTTTGTAGCACATTTAAAGTACAAAATTTACAACCCTATATATCGGCCATGAAAAAAAGACATATCGCTCCATCTCTAATGGGAGTGAATAATGACACAATAACAAATTTTTAAGTACAATATATTGCTGAACAAAATAGATGATAAACGATAACACCGAAACAAATTTATGCTACTGACACAAAAACCCAAAAGTAGATTTCAACCACAAAAACTACTCTGAATGTACAATATGGTTAAATAATAATGAGCTGCAATAAATAAACAGTGGAATGAAACACTTTAGCACTTAGTTTGCATCTATAATTAGTCATAGAAGTTATTTATTCAATCTTTTACAGCTTACATCTTATCATATTGCCAAAAAATAACCAAAGATTCCCCAGTAGTGCAAAGAAATTGTACACCCGATAAATAGTGACATCCCAAAAATTACTGTTTCATCTGTCATATATTGAACAATAGGTCAATATAGTAATTATCATGACAGGCCTAATCATCTGGCTCAGGAACTTTGTTGATTTTGTGGAAATTCCAAACTTCCATTATTGTCTTATTATGTAGTCACTTTAGTGTTTACAGAGTGCTCAGTTGGAAGCACAGATTTTGATAGACCCCTGAGAGTGCTGTCATTTTTCCGAAGATGCCAGGAGACTGTCTTGTTAATTAGCCAGTGATGTTTCATTGCACCGAGATGGCTCCCTCTGGAAATTTAATCAGCACAATAACCTAATTCAGTCACATACAGAAGCTTAGACACGTACGGCGATGTCCAAAACACTCAGACAGGACTTCTTTTACGGAGTTTGTGAGAGATGCATTCAAAGTAAAGAAAAGGCACTTATCTTTAATCCCTTGGCCAATTATTGTAAATACAGACAGATAATAAGCGGAGATGGAAGGTGAGCATAACATTACTTTTTTGTCCAATCAAATCTATTCAAAATGAAATGTATATAACCTGAAAAAGGGACAAGAAGATAATGTTAATAATATCTAATATTAGTAATATAATAATATTATTATTCATCCATCGCATGGCCAAAACTTACTGCAGACAGATTTGAAGAAAAGTTCAACCTAAAACAAACTTACCAAATAACCCATACCAACCCAACCTGATAACTACCATATCGTTGTGCTGCCCAAACCAAGCATCAGAAGAAAACTGTTCAGAGCATTTCATGCACTGATCTACAGGCATTAAGTTACAGCCATAAAAATTACATACAGAAGACTGTAGCAAAAAAAAATAATGTGACCAAACTAGTGGCTATGCCAAAAGACAGTGAAAAGTGATGAAGTTTCCTGCACGCTGTTTTCAATGCAACACTGCAAAAGTTGATATTCCTATATATATATATATATATATATATATATATATATATATATATATATATCCATCCATCCATCCATTTTCGTCCGCTTATCCGGGGCCGGGTCGCGGGGGGAGCAGCCTAAGCAGGGACTCCCAGACTTCCTTCACCCCAGACACGTCCTCCAGCTCCTCCAGGGGGACCCCGAGGCGTTCCCAGGCCAGCCGAGAGACATAGTCCCTCCAGCGTGTCCTGGGTCTTCCCCGGGGCCTCCTCCCGGCGGGACATGCCCGGAACACCTCCCGAGGGAGGCGCCCAGGAGGCATCCGGAACAGATGCCCGAGCCACCTCAACTGGCTCCTCTCGACGTGGAGGAGCAGCGGCTCTACTCCGAGCTCCTCCCGTGTGACTGAGCTCCTCACCCTATCTCTAAGGGAGCTCCCAGCCACCCTGCGGAGGAAACTCATTTCGAGCGCTTGTATCCGCGATCTCGTCCTTTCGGTCACTACCCAGAGCTCATGACCATAGGTGAGAGTAGGAACGAAGACTGACCGGTAAATCGAGAGCTTCGCCTTTCGACTCAGCTCCCTCTTCACCACAACGGTCCGATACAGCGACCGCATCACTGCCGAAGCTGCACCGATCCGCCTGTCAATCTCACGTTCCGTCCTTCCCTCACTCGTGAACAAGACCCCGAGATACTTGAACTCCTCCACTTGAGGCAAAGACTCCCCACCCACCCGGAGAGGGCAAGCCACCTTTTTCCGGTCGAGAACCATGGCCTCGGACTTGGAAGAGCTGATCCTCATCCCAGCCGCTTCACACTCGGCTGCAAACCGCCCCAGTGCACATTGCAGGTCCTGGTTCGATGAAGCCAACAGGACAACATCGTCCGCAAACAGCAGAGATGAAATCCTGTGGTCCCCAAACCGGACCCCCTCCGGCCCCTGACTGCGCCTAGAAATTCTGTCCATAAATACAATGAACAGAACCGGTGACAAAGGGCAGCCCTGGCGGAGTCCAACATGCACCGGGAACAGGTCTGACTTACTGCCGGCAATGCGAACACAGCTCCTGCTCCGGTCATACAGGGACCGGACAGCCCTTAGCAAAGGGCCCCGGACCCCATACTCCCAGAGCACCCCCCACAGGACACCACGAGGGACACGGTCGAATGCCTTCTCCAGATCCACAAAACACATGTGGACTGGTTGGGCAAACTCCCATGAACCCTCGAGCACCCTATGGAGAGTGTAGAGCTGGTCCAGTGTTCCACGGCCAGGACGAAAACCACACTGCTCCTCCTGAATCCGAGGTTCGACTATCGGCCGGATTCTCCTCTCCAGTACCCTGGCATAGACCTTACCGGGAAGGCTGAGAAGTGTGATCCCCCTATAGTTGGAACACACCCTCCGGTCCCCCTTCTTATACAGAGGGACCACCACCGCGGTTTGCCAGTCCAGAGGTACTGTCCCCGACCGCCACGCGATGTTGAAGAGGCGTGTCAGCCAAGACAGCCCCACAACATCCAGAGACTTCAGGTACTCAGGACGGATCTCATCCAACCCCGGAGCCTTGCCACCAAGGAGCTTGCCAACCACCTCAGTGACTTCGGCCAGGGTGATGGATGAGTCCGCCTCCGAGTCCCCAGCCTCGGCCTCCTCCTCGGAGGACGTGACGGTGGGATTGAGGAGATCCTCAAAGTATTCCTTCCACCGCCGGACAACGTCCCCAGTCGAGGTCAACAGCTCTCCCCCCGCACTGTAAACAGTGTTGGTGAAGAACTGCTTCCCCCTCCTGAGGCGCCGGACGGTTTGCCAGAATCTCTTTGAGGCCGTCCGATAGTCCTTCTCCATGGCCTCCCCGAACTCCTCCCAGCTCCGAGTTTTTGCCTCCGCGACCACACGGGCTGCAGCACGCTTGGCCCGCCGGTACCTGTCAGCTGCCTCAGGAGTCCCCCGAGCCAGCAAGGCCCGATAGGACTCCTTCTTCAGCTTGACAGCATCCCTTACTTCCGGTGTCCACCACCGGGTTCTGGGGTTGCCGCCGCGACAGGCACCACAGACCTTACGCCCACAGCTCCGAGCAGCTGCATTGACAATAGAGGCCGAGAATGAAGCCCACTCGGACTCCATATCTCCAGCCTCCCCCGGAATCCGGGAGAAGTCCTCCCGGAGGTGCGAGTTGAAGGTCCCTCTGACAGAGGGCTCCGCCAGACGTTCCCAACAGACCCTCACTACACGCTTGGGCCTGCCAGGTCTTTCCGGCTTCCTCCTCCGCCAGCGAACCCAACTCACGACCAGGTGGTGATCAGTTGACAGCTCAGCCCCTCTCTTCACCCGAGTGTCCAAGACACGCGGCCGGAGATCAGATGACACGACGACAAAGTCGATCATCGACCTCCGGCCTAGGGTGTCCTGGTGCCACGTGCACTTATGGACACCCTTGTGCTCGAACATGGTGTTTGTTATGGACAAACTGTGACTAGCACAGAAGTCCAATAACAAAACACCACTCGGGTTCAGATCGGGGAGGCCGTTCCTCCCAATCACCCCTCTCCAAGTGTCACTGTCGTTGCCCACGTGGGCGTTGAAGTCCCCCAGGAGAACAACGGAGTCCCCGGTCGGTGCACTGTCTAGTACCCCTCCCAAGGACTCCAAGAAGGCCGGGTACTCTGCACTGCTGTTCGGCCCGTAGGCCGACACCACAGTGAGAGACCTGTCCCCGACCCGAAGGCGCAGGGACGCGACCCTCTCGTTCACCGGGGTGAACTCCAACACACAGCGACTGAGCTGTGGGGCAATGAGCAGGCCC